TGTTGACCTCACAGCTTCTTGAATTGTCCTGGGTCTATGGACACAAACAAATATCTCTAACTCTGCACTCAAGCCTGAAAGAAAAAGAAAATACTTGAAGCTGTCTCCTCAGAAATCAATCATCACCATCACCCTGAGCCAAAAGGTTATCAAAATTCTCCAAATATTCAATTAAAGACCCTTCTTGTTTCAGTCTTGCCAGTTCAGCAAATGGGTCAACAAATGCTCCATCATCAAACCGATTTCCAACATCTTACAAGATTTGAATCCATGTTTTCTGCTTAAAATCGAGGGTTTGAATATAATGGTGTTGCTAATTCTTGTGAATCCACCATCGTCCTCTCCTTTGTGTCCATGCATGTCTCCTTTGTAAATGGCAATTTTTTTGGTACTCTCTAATTGCTGCTTATGAGAAGCCTCAGCTGTCCGACGACTAAACTCCCTCTCCTCATTCCGGATCTCAAGTTCCTTCTCAAGCACACGAACCTCATATGTCAGAGAGGGATATCTTTTCCTACAAGAATCTAGGAATGCCAACTAGCTACATGGTCCGTGTTTTCCAGTGGTCTGTGATTGTGTTGTAGATGGTGGGTGGCGCCGATGGAAGGAAGCAGAGGGGGAGGGAGGAGAAGATCTGGTTCTGGTCAAAATATCACCACGTGGCCTTTCAATTTTAATGCACAATGCCACGTCAGTAAATGAAAAAATCTAGCTCACAAAAATTTAACGCCGTCTCACACCATTTAACGGTTATGGCAAAATGTGCTCACTTTTACAAAAAATATGACCCAATTGAGAAACAAAAAAACTTGAGGACCCAACTGAGATTTTCATATAAACTTGAGGACCAAGGAAGGGTTTAAACCTTAAAAGAACAAATAACATAAAATACAATTAAAGGAGTTGTCTATATACAATATACTCCCTCCAAAATATATATCACTTAACTCCTTCAAAGAATAATGCTGAACACCAAATTCCAACATGTAAACAAATTTCTCCCAAATACATAGAAACCAAGCACTACACTATTTCAGATATGATCCGTTAAGTCTCATGCAAATTATGGATGTTTTGGTTTTTCACACCATATAACATCCTTAAACAACACATGTCTTTTCCAGTCATTCGATGCTTCCACCACCACTACTTTATATATCCATATTGATGTTCTTAGGAAGGTAGATACGAGTCTAAATCTCATTTTTAAGTAGACCACCACCACTTTATATCCATATTGATGTTCTTAGGAAAGTAGATACGAGTCTAACTCTCATTTTTAAGTAGAGACAATTTAATAAATTCATAAATTTATTGATGTTTTTGTGTAGGTTAGATTCATGTTTAATTTATGTTTCTTTGATAAATTTGATTCATCAGTGTGGTATCATAGTTTAGTATTCCTCTATACCACAAACCTATTGCCTTAAAAGTTTTTAAGTTAAATGTGATATTAATTTTTTATATGGATTGAACTTATGTCTAAAATTGAACAGAATTAACATAATTAAAATTTTTGTATTATGATTGTAATTTTTTTCTCATTATATATATTAAAAATGAAATATAATTGAAATACAATTAGCAAAACATATAAGTTTTAAATTTTAATAGAAAAAATGCGTGTTGTGTATTCATATCGATTACTATTTTATTATTTTTTTTAACTAATATATAAAAAAGTTTAGTCGTCAATGTTACAACATAGAAAGCCCTTGGAAAAGGGTTTAATTATTCTATTATTTTAAGTTCTTTTACAAATTTTCTATAAAATGATTGTTTGTCTTGGATAACATTAATGACTATTATTACTGGTTGGTGTCATTCTGGACCCTAGCTAAGGCGAATTTAATTATAAGATTGAACATATATAGATAGAGAATCAAATTAATTGAATGTAGACAGGTAAACAGTATTTGATGTACCTGTATCATTTAAATAAGCTGCAGAAGTATAATTAAAAAAAAAAATCTTGCACCCAAAATTAATAAATATAACATAAAATAGAAAAGTGTAATTACCATCAAATTATCTTTATATAATAGCATAATCTTTTTGTCTCACTGTAAAACAGTTCATCATTCCAATAGAACTATGAGAAGATAGGAAAAAGGCAATTCCAATTAACAATAATTGTAGTACTAGGTAGAAGATCTAGCGCAGAATATATATATAATAGTCTTTATTTGTTGTTGTTGTTGGTAGTTGGTATATTATAAATGCAGCTGTTAAATTTTATTTTGATGATGACTTGTGCAGCTGTTCTAGGACCACGATTCAAAAGTGCTTTCAGAACGCGATTAATTTAATTACTTAGGCCATGCATGCATATATATAACACGTTTATTTTTCCCATCTATATATAATCATGGACATCATTAGTTTCATCTTGAAACGCGACTATTTTTAGATAAACTCCGCATTTAATGGAACAACAACACCAACTATGTATATAAATATCTAGTACATAGGTTTTATCCCAGATTTTAAGGTAAATGTCGTGCGTGTAATACTAAACAAATCCACATTAACAAAACGATTTTAAAAAATATATATATTCCACACGAACTCACCAAATCCTTAACACCCACATAGCCCAATTTCAATATTCGGCTTGTTGCCATTAACAAAAAGTTCCCAGAGTCAGAATCAAGGAAAAAAATTAAAAAAGTGGAGGAATAAAAAAACAGGTAGATGATAGTGAGAGACTGAGACATGTTCGTAGTTCTCACGACCGACCAGGTTACGTGACATGCTATGGAATTTCGATTTCACAAAAAGAATGAATTGGAAGAATAATGATGATGTCGTACCATAAATAGGGCAATCACTTGAGAGTGTGATTGGAACAAAAGAAGGTCTTGGAAGGCTTAACGGCGAGTTTGTTCTTCTTGGAGGATGAACCGTAGCTCTTCTTGTGAAAGTCTACGAAGAGAACGAGAAGAGAGGCGTAGAAGACGACGTTGAAGGTCCAACCCCAAACGCCGGAGCAGCCAGAGCCGGTGAAGTGGTAGTAGAGCATGACGGCGAGAACGAGGAAACTGGAGTAGAACTGCAAGATCTGAACGTTGGTGACGATCTTCTTCCATCTGGGGCGCACCCCGAGTGCGCAGGATAAGTAGTAGGCGTACATCAGGACATGCACGGAGGCGTTGGTGAAGAGGACGGCGGGGAAGAGGGTCTGGGAGGTTTGGAGCCAGATGTAGCACATGATGACGACGGTGGAGTGGTGATAGACGTGGAGGAAGGTGAGGCGTTGGATGGATTTGCTGAGGATGATGAGGAGGGTGTCGGCGAACTCGAGGATCTTGGAGAGGTAGAAGATGTAGGCCCAGAAGAAGAGAGGCCCGGTGGGCTTGGTGTGGGGAGGGAAGCAGACGATCCAGTGGAGGTGAGGTGCATGGTAGAGGGTGGAGAGGAGGCAGCCAAGGGCCATGGTGAAAGAGAGGAGAAGGAGGAAGATGTTGTGGAGGGCCGAGATGGTTTTGATGAACTGTGGAGATATGGAGGAGGATATGATCCTGTGGGGGAGAATGAAGGTGGAGAAAAGGTAAGAGAGAATGGTGAAGAAGAGAAAGTGTGGTGAGGAACCTAGTGTTTTACCCGGTGTCCATGAGAAGTTTCTTATGGTAGGATGGTTCACTAGCCAGTACTCCAAATCCAACCCTGATGATAACATTTTCTCAAACTCAACCACCACAACAACACAACACAAAAACAACCTAGTACTGTGCTGCTGGGGAAGAAGAGAGAGAGATCTTGAAATGTTGGAGGAGGAAAAATGCAAGCTTGAAGTTGTTTGATGTATATATGACAGTGTGAGAGGGTAGGCCGAAACACTGTAAGTAATGAACAGTGATCATATACAGCTGGTAAAGTTGCTCAATAAATGTGGCAATCTGAGCAGAAGCAAATGCATGGCCTCTACAGTGACTCATTCTGCATGAGATCTTGACTATTCAAAAATAATAATAATAACATAATACAAATTCAAATTTAGAAAAGGAAGAAAAGGTGATATATTTTAACACTTGGAATGATGTCCAAGTGTTTTTCAGACCTTCTCTAATAATAACTGCTCTCACTGCAGCCAGTGTGACAGTGAAGCTTCATACAAATGCCATGTGGCCATTTCATTTCAAGTTTCTGAGCAGCATGTTCTGGTTTTTAGGATTTGTTTAGTTACATCATCTTACTATTTATTTGCTTTAAAGTAAAGAATATCTGGGCTTTTGCACCAAACTAGGCAAATATGCCATCTTTATTACCAAAATGGGCAAATTTTGACCCAAAGTGAAGTCGTGGGGGGCCAAAACGACTTCAATTAAAGAAGTCGTGCCCCCCCTGCACGACTTCACCCTGTTCATTTGACCAGGGTTGAAGTCGTGCACCCCAAAAACGACTTTAGGGTATGGTAATCGATTACCACACATGTTGTAATC